ACATGCAGCTAATGGATTCTGTGTGACTCAGCATTCTGAGTATGTTTGTTGCAGGGCAGGAAGGTGGTTAATGAGATCACCAACCTGGTCAGTCTGGTCAGTCCTGGAGCTATATTGAATGAATATAAACTTGTCCTGCTTACCTCACATAGACTAGACTGCACAGAGTCTCTAGACTGGACTGCACATAGTAAAATATTCTGGAAGTGCCTTGGACACAAACATACCTCAAGGCCTTGCCTAGGCTGGATGTACTTCCTAAGAAGGGCTCAAGATTTGACACAATCTCTGGTCAAAATTTATATGGCTCCCTAGGACAAGCAGATCTGTACTTCTGAGCCATCCATAAGGTGGCCTTTGGCTCTCTGGCTTTCTCTCTTACTATAACCTTGCTTTGACCTTCCCCTCACCCTCTTCCCACCGTATTCAAACCACAATGGTACTTTGGTCCTAATTCAAATTTCTGCTGAAGTTATGCTGTTCCTCTGGAAATGTTCTTCCACACCACAGCTACCAAAGAGGCACACTTCCTTCAGAACCCAGCTCAAATTCAGCTTCTTCCAGGGAGGAAAATGTCTACTCCTGGAGCCGTTCTCCACCTGGAAATCCTGGCCAGCCTCCACCCAGCCCCAGTCTCTCGTGGCAGGATGTAATAACTTAATTACAGCACTTTGCATAGTTGTTTTGTATAGGCTTTTCCACGTCAATGTCAAAGGAACTGTGCCTTTTACAAGGCTGACTCCTCCATTCTTTCCTTTGGATGAAGGCATTCCACCATAATTAATTCTTCCTTATTCAAACAAGTTCTTTTCACTATACCCTCTGGATTTGCACCTTTGAGGGTACTACATTAACAGATCCTTCTTTTGTCAAGCCATTTTTAATATTACATTGCTTGATCTAGACTCGATTAATGCTCATTTTTTTCCAGGTGCTCATTCTCCCCTATCCCCAGAAAGCAAGGTGCTTTGCAATGTGGGGTTTTCAATAACATGGATGTTCTCAGGCTGTATCATCTGTTTCTGAGAACCTCACGTTTATGACAAGCGTCTCAGAAAAACGCCTTGAGAAATCTACATGTAAACCAATGCCCCATGGAAACACATAAATATTTTATCAGGCTCTGAATAAGACTCTTGCTTATAAATGTTTAAACACTGGGTAGCATAATGCTCAGAGGCTGATTAGAGCCAACTTGTAGTGGGATGGGGAAGCTGAGAGAGGAGGGGAATGCTACAGCAGTGGCAGGAGGCATTATGTCTCTCCTAAGGACCTAGGAACATTCCATGTGCACCTGAAAGCTCCTGCAATTTGCATAGGCTCTCATTTTCCAATTGCTATTCCCTGGAATAGAGGTCAGGCAGCTCCCAGTGGGGCTGAATAGGGAGGTTACTGGTCGGGCTGCCAGCAGGCTGCCACATCAGTCACAGACCCCGTCTACTTGCCATACTTCTATCAGCACTGGTGGCACAAGGAAGATTTTCAAATAAAGTATTTAGCATTCAAATTGAAGGATGTTCATGGCAGTTTTATTCAAAATCGGCCCAAACAGTAAACAACCCAAGTGTCCATCAGTAAGAGCACAAAGAACCACATGATAGATACTCAGACAATGAGTAGTACCTTGGTATAAAAAGAAAAGAAAAAAAAAAACTACTAAAATACTCAACAACATAGATGGATCTTACAAATATTATGCAGAGCCAAAAGAAGCCAGACACAAGAGTGCATGCGTGTAACTGCACATGTACCAAGTTTAGGAAGCCACAAAAAATTCTATTTAAAGAAATCAGAACAAAGATTTCATTGCGACTTCTAGATGGTGCAGGGGGCTAGAAAGAGGCATGAGGGAAATTTCTGGGATTGAAATTTGTTATATCTTGTTTGGAATGAGTTGTTCAAACTGGCCCAACCTCTAACACAGGATTCAGCTCAGAAGCTTTGTGAGGACAAAAGAGGCCATTGATCTCCAAGATCATTTACCTATAAAATATTGATTAACTGAGTCATCTAAAATAACTTCTAGTATTTTATCAAGGGTTTCACAGTCCTTATGGGACACAATGCCATGTCTGTGTCATTTAATTATTTAACTTATTCAATAATATTTATTGTTTATAATATGCTAAATAGGGGCACAACCGTAAACAAAATTAAAAACTCTTTTGTCCTTATGGAGTTCACATTTGAGTGGGAATATGCTCAATTAACAATGAAACAAATATGTAATATCAGGTAGTAATAAGTGCTGTGTAGAAAGTAAAAGCAGGGTCAGATGATAGTGACAAAAGACTGTTTTAGATCAGGTGGCCTAGGAAGTCTCACTGAGGAGGCCACATTTTGAAAAGACCTGAAAGAGCTGAGAAATTGAATTAGTGAAGTATCTGAGGGAAGAGTGTTCAGACACTGGGAACAGAAAGGAGTACAGTGAGTAAGAGGACATGATACAATGAGGCCACATGGGCCAGATCACATAGGGCCTTAGCCAGGAGAGCTGGAATTTATTTGAAGTGTGAGAGGAGGCCCTTGGAGAGTATTACAAAGCAAAGTGATATAATCCAACAGATTTGGGGTTTTTTTGTTTTTTGGGGTTTTTTTTCCCAATGCTGAGGATTGAACCCTGAGTGGTTCACCACTGACTGAGCTACCTCTTCAGCCCCTGCCCTTCTTATTTTGAGACATGGTCTCACTAAATTACCCAGGCTGTCCTTGAACACACCATTCTCCTGCTTCATTCATCCTCCTGCCTCAACCTCCCGATTAGGTGAAATTACAGGTGTAATATAAAATATCAGTTGAAGCCACAGTGTCTGGCTTCAACTGATATTTTAAGGAGGAAAAAAAAAGCACTTAAGAGATTTGCCCAGAATTTTTGTGGAAAAGTCAGAAGAATAAGATCTATTTTTTTTCTCAAAATGCTAACATCCTTCATACATCTATTTCTTAATCACCTTCTGATTCAAACTCTGTCCAAGGCCATATCACCTATTTTTGGAGTTTTAACTTTGAGTTTTATAAACAAGTTCATGTTTTAAGATAATTATAAATTTATAAAAAGAGAGGCAGGTAACTTTTCTGTATATCTAAAAACTGTCATTATAAAACATTGGAGGAAAAAGGAGACTTAGGGCTTTGCATCCTTTATCAAGCAAATCCATCAGCAACTAAAACATGAATATTTTGGTTTTCAACTCTTTCTGTAAAATACAGGCTCTGAATTTTTACTGAATGTAGGTCATCAATTTGAACTCTCAAATCAAACTTTTCTGCCTAAATAAGTCCATGCTTCATCATTTCTATGGCATAACAGAGTCTGGACTCTCTTTCCCTCTCCAGGGCCCTAAACGACTAAAAACCTAGAAGGGATGGGATAAAATTTGTGGTTAGAGGAGGTTGTTCTCAGAGAAGACTTCATCTTCTTCCAATCCCATCTGAAATGCCCTTATGGCCAAACAGGAAAAAAATAAAAATAAAAAAGGTAAATATTGGAATCCTCAACAGGAAATAAAACTGTTACGTGCCTCTTTTCCAAATGCTCTTTCCTTCAATCATTACTCTTTCCCTCTCTGGAGAACCTTCTAGGCTGGAAGTTGCTTAATCCCACCCTCCCCAGGGGTTTCCTTTTTGCCTTCTCTAGCTTTAAGGTCCTCTATCTCCAGCCTGCCATTATTCTACCTCTGATGGGGCCAACTCTAGACTTGGAAAACAGAGAGGAGCTAAAAGTTGGAGGTAAGAGAAGAGGGAAACAAAGGGCAGACCCCAGAGACTGTGGTGGCCCTGAAGTGCAATTAAGCTGGCAAAATATGGGGACCAGGCAGCCACCTCCACTCTCTCCTGAGAAATCCCTAACTCAAGCAAAGTTTATCCAAGTACTTTATTCTTCAGAAGCAAATTGCCTTAACTGTAGACAAGAGCTTTCTTAGTCACTTATCTGCACACCCATTTGCTCTACCTACGATGAAAGAATCTAGTGTTTTTTTACAAGCGACTGCTGTCCAGACTGCTGGGAGACTCCCTGTACAGAACTTAGCCACTGTTGGTAGAGAAAAATGAATTCTTCTTTGCAGGCCTTGCTGCCTACTACATCAAATTTTTTTTTCCAGTTTTTAACCTCTATTTAAAAATCTTTCCCTTTCACCTAGGGATGCAAAAATGTATTGTTATTCAGTATATCCTTGTTTAAAGTCTACACTAGGAAAGACATTTTATTATAGGGTAGAACATAATTTGCCTATTACTCATGCATGCTTGTACCTAGAAAACCAACAAAAGGGTAAGAGTAACCACACCATGACTTCCCTCCCCAGATTTCTATTTTGAAATATTAAGAACATAACTCGATTTTAAAGACAACCTTAAGGATCCTGTTCTGCAGCAGTACCTGTATACTTCTAACAAGAAACCTGCTGTTTATGATTGAGCTAACTTGGAAAGGCTGCTTATCCGAGTACAAGGATGCTGCTGTGTCCAGACGTCTCCTCTGTGCCCAGAAGCAAGGCAGTATGACTGCCCATAGCGCAATAAAAATTTCTCTTTTCAGACTTCACAGTCTACGTGGGGGAACTCAGATGCGTCCCATCCTGTCCTCTGGGAGTGAACGCACCTCTACGAGATAGATTTGGGGACACATTCTGCGAGGAGGCGCTGGGAAATCTTGGGCGCGGTGGGAAAGTGGTTTTGGATCTCTCGTTTTCAACAGTCAGTCGTCCATTCAACACAACAGACCAGCCCAAACCCTCTTCACACCAAATTCCAGCGCTCTTCCCCGCTCCTTCCGATGTCCGCTCGCATCCCGGAGGAGCGACCCCGCGCTCCCATCAAATTTCTAAGAAAGTTTAACTGTTTCCAAAGAAATCGCCCTGAATCTAGAGAGGAGACAAAACCCCTCCCCACTTCCCACTTTTTATTTTGTAACTATACGACGTTTTGTGGAAGTATAGCGTCCACAGAGAGGTCCTACAAAATCCCGAAAATGGGATCCTCAAGGGCTCCGAGCTCACCTCACCGGGTCCCGGACCGCCGAGAAGCGCCCAGCGCGGTTGTCCGCGGGCCGCCCGAGGTCCTCGGGTCTCTCGTGTGTTCGCAGCGCTCGGAGGGACCCGGAGGGACAGGGCGGACAGG